TTAACATGAAATTTAGAAATCTATGTCACATATACCATGATGGTTACTGAAATAAAACATCAATCACCCGTATTCTTATCACTCCTCAAAATGTTTTCTTCCCATCCCATGGCCCTTTCTGGAGTTTTCTCGATGCTTATATAACTGTACAGAGTTGTCACTTTCATGGAGATGAAATTGCGTGCGTTGCTGTTTTGGCTTCACATTGTTGAGTATTTTTTCATGCTGCTAAAACTTCATGGTGAGCATTTCAACACCCGTGTAATGCTGCATCCAGATGCTCTGTAATAATTACACTCCCGTTCTCCTGTGGCTGTTCAATTACGTAATTTTCCACTTGAAGTCATAACAAGTAATGCACATCCCCGTGACCACAGCTTCGTGCTCTCAGCCCAAGCTCCAGGAGGAGAGGACTGGGTCAAAGCACCTGGACATTTTTGTGACTTTTGAAGTGCATTGTGGAACCGTGTGAAGGACACTTTTCTCAACGTGATGTGCCACTTTGATTTGACGCTGTTTTCTCCTGCCAGTTCAGAATGATAGGGTAAGAGAATACCCTGTGTTGATGGCGAGACTCAGATTTGGGTCTCAAATGTGTTTTCTGCGTAACAACGAGATGGGATCCAGTGATGCGGTCTGGGCTGTTGGGTACTCACTTTTCCTAAAAGATGCCATCTGCTTGGAGCAGAATAGGCTGTGACACGCAGGAGCCCCCAGGGAAACGGCCACGGCAGTGGTGGGTGTTAACGAGCAGGCATAAGGGACTGCTCCCAGCGGTGCTTCCTCTGAAGCCACTGCCACCTGCAGCAGCACAGGAGACAGAAAGGCCCTTTCTCCGGGTCCAGGCGGCTCAGGCCCCTATGTGCCCTGGTGTAGGAGAGACCCAGGCTTCTTGGTAGAGGCCCAGAGCCCTGCGCTGCCACCACTGCTGGATGATGCTCAGGACCTCGGGGCTGGCCCTGCTGGCTCTGGTCTGTGCTGTGGGCTCAAGCCAGGCCAGTGGCTTCACAGGTGAGGGGTCTGGGCTTGGTATGGGCAGTTCTTGAGGAGGGAGGCTCCCTGGCATGGATCTCATGAGGACAGCCTCCTGCTGAGACCTAGGTGGGTAAGGGTGCCTCTGCTTGAAGAGGCGACATCTGTTCCTTGGTGGACGAGCTTTTCCGTAAGCGCACATGGTAGCAGCTGTGGAGGTGGGGCAGGCGTGCCGGGTAGGGTTTTGGGAAGAGGACTCCCTAGCGGGAACCTGTTGCTGAATCACCGGGACGTTCGTGGGGGTAAAATGCAGATTCTTAGCCAGCAGGTCTGGGGTGCAAGGTCTGGAACTCTGCATGTCTGTGGGTGATGCAGACGCTGTGGGGTCCTCAGATCCCACTGAGAACAGTGAGCTCCTACAAACGCAGAAGAAAGGTCTCCTGAACCTTGGTGCATTTAAGTCCTCACTTAGAGATAAAAAAGAAAAAAAGGAGACCTAGTCTGGGCAACATCATGAGACCCCATCTCTACCAAAAAAAAAGAAAAAAAGCCAGGCATGGTGGTGCACACTTGTGGTCCCAGCTACACAGGAGGCCGGGATGGGAGGATCGCTTAAGCTTGGGAGGTCGAGGCTGCAGTAAGCTGAGACTGCTCCACTGCACTCCAGCCTGGACAGCAGAGCAAAACCCCCCTGATAAACAAAGAAAAGCCATGATACAAAAACAAAAAAGAAAGGGAGACCCAGAATGGATCAGGGACTCGCCCAGGCCACACAGCTCACAGGGCAGAGTCACCGCAGGAGCCAGCGGCTGCACCAGGGCTCTGTCTGGAGTCTCCAGGCATGCGGACAGCAGAGCAGCTGCTAAAAAACACGTGGGGGTTCTGAAACCCCGGAATCCAGGGAAATGGGACTGCAGAATTTTAAGATCGTTTTCCTCTTAAAATCTGTCTTATTCAGTTACAAATTAAAGGAATCCATTCTGTTTCTAAAATCCACTATGTTTTTGTACTACCTTAAAGTTTTTCACCCAGAAGCAGGATTTTGCTTTGTGATTTGTGAAATGGATATTCCCATTGGAACAGGTAATACGTAGACCCCACAGTTCAGATACATAATGGGTGGGAATCCTGGGAAACTGGAGAAGGTCTTAGGAGGTGTTTCCAGAACCCCTCATTGTAGATGAGGACACAGGGCAGAACCTCAGCAACCCCACATGTGCCCGCCCCGAATCGTCCCCGGGTGCCAGCACTGCCTTCACGGGCATGGCCCCACTTCAGCCTTCTGCTGCCTCAGGGCATGGCTGTTATTTCACAGATGACAAGAGGGGGGCACTGGGAGGGCATGACACGGGTGCAATCACGCGGCAGGGTGTGAGCGCAGGTCCATCTGACCCCAGGACTTTTGTTGGCCCCAGAGCGTTAGGCTTTCCCGCGTCTGAGACCGGAATCCAAGACCCCGCGCTCCTGCTCTGATGGCCCTTGCAGGGCTTTGCAGTATGGCAGAATCTGCTAAACGCTTTCTTCTCTGGGCTCTGCCAAGAAGCCAGGCTTGGGATGGCACATGGCCTCAGATAAAATGTGAAAAACAAAACAGGACAAACATCTCCGGGGTTCCACAGGAGACGAGTGTGTGTGTGTGTGTGTGTGTGTGAGTGTGTGTGTGCACATGCGGGTGTGCGTGTGTGTGCAGGAGGGCTCTGCTGCAGACCAGCTGAGTCCATGTAATGATCACGTGGGGCCCTGGCAGCTCTCTAGAGACCAGGAGCTGCAAGTGTCCTTAATGTGGTTGGCATCTCTGCTCAGGTTACGATGAAAAACACAAGCTAGATCCACCCTGCTAAATTCTTGGTGCAGGAAGTCCTTGGCCTTTGCCTTGCTCAGCGTGGTCACTGAGTAGGTGAGCGCGTTCCTTCTGGCCACATTCCACCGTTCCTCATGCAAGTCACCCCTAGGCTCTCAGCCAAGCTGCCCTGGCCTGGGAAGCTGATTTGTCCCGTTCCACTCCGTACGACAAGGACCTCCCATTCCTTTGCAGAGCTCACGGTAACTACCCCACTGGTGATGGCAAACAGCAGGTGGTCCCCATCCCTAGAGGCCCTGCTGAGCCCGCAGGGTGATTTGGGGTTCAGACCCCAGAGGAGGTTGCGGCTCCAGTCCCTGTTGCTTGTGGAGTGGGGTCGCTCTGCGCAAGTGTGTGGTCCAGCACCTGTGTTCCGCCCAGAGCAAAGCTGCAGCCTCTTCCCTCACCTGGTTTGAGGGCCAGCTCTGCCCTGTTTCTTCCTGGGGTGAGTAACAAGCCCCCGGAGTCCCGCTTTCTGCACACTTATAGGTTGCTGTGAGGTTCAAGGAGGGAATCTTCAGAGATGCTGCCCCAGTGGAGGGAATAAGGACAGCATTGGTTTTGTGATCATTTCTGCTCCCATCTCTGTGTTCCTCCCCAGAAATCAATCCGGCTACTCATTGAGGGAAATAAACTGTAATACTGAGCCCCCACCTCTTGGCTGTACAGTCTAGTAAAGCTTAGAGCTCAGGGGTTGAGTGTCTGAAATGTAAGCCCTGTATGTCAAATCCTCCGTTCATTAGGCACTGAGAGTCCGTATACTCAGAGTCCCCTGCTAGGTGCCACAGGGGAGCTGGAGGGGACCCTTCACCATCCCTGTGTTCACTGGCTAGGACTGCTGAAACAAAGAAACAGCCTGGGCGGCTTAAACAGCGGAAATGGATTCAGTCACAGTTCTGGAGGCCAGAAGCCTAAGATGAAATTGCGGGCAGGGCTGGCTCCTCCCAAGCCCTTGCAGGAGTCTCTGCTCTGGGCCTCCAGCTTCTGGGGCAATCTTTGGTGTTCCTTGACAGTAGAAGCACCACCCCAGTCTCTACCTTCTTCTCCCTGTGTCTGTCTGTCTCCACGTTTCCCTTTAGTATAAGGGCCAGTCATATTGCATTAGGGTCCAGCCTAATGTCTCCACTTTAACTTGATAACCTCCAGAAGACATTACTACAGATAAGGTCACATTCTGAGTTACTGGGGTATAGGACTTTAACATACGAATTTTTAGAGGAACACAATCAATTCAAATTAGGCAATAGGGTTCTCCCGCGGAGATGGGAAGCCCAGGCACACGTCAGGGGATGTCCATGACAAACAGTCTCGTGGTGAATGCCATGGGGCCAGGGGTCTCGAGAACGGAGTAATCACGTTGATGGAGGGGTGATGGGCCTTGTGTACAGGAACCAGGCTCTGGTGAGAGATGCATGGGGCCTGATATGGTAAATCTGATGCTTGTCCTGCAGCGGGGGTGACTGTGCCTCCTCCTGGTCACAATGGTAAAGGCAGAACAGTTGAACTGGTCTTTTTTTGAGACGGAGTCTCGCTCTGTCGCCCAGGCTGGAGTGCAGTGACATGATCTAGGCTCACTGCAACCTCAGCCTCCTGGGTTCAAGCAATTCTTCTGCCTCAACCTCCCAAGTAGCTGGGATTACAGGTGCGCCCCACCACACCTGGCTTTTTTTTTTTTTTTTTTTTTTTTTTTTGGAGAGGGAGTCTCCCTTTGTCACCCAGGGTGGAGTGCAGTGGCACAATCTCGGCTCACTGCAACCTTAACCTCCTGGGTTCACGCCATTCTTCTGCCTCAGCCTCCTGAGAAGCTGGGACTACAGCTGCCCACCACCATGCCTGGCTAATTTTTTGTATTTTTAGTAGAGACGGGGTTTCACCGTGTTAGTCAGGATGGTCTCGATCTCCTGACCTCTTGATCTGCCCGCCTTGGCCTCCCAAAGTGCTGGGATTACAGGCATGAGCCACTGCTCCCAGCCCACACCCAGCTAATTTTTAAAAAATATGTTTGGTAGAGATGGGGTTTCACCATGTTGGCCAGGCTGGTCTCGAACTCCTGACCTCAGGCGACCCGCCCACTTCAGCCTCCCAAAGTGCCGGGATTATAGGCGTGAGCCACCACACCTGGCCTGAGCTGGTCTTTTATCATCAACAAACTTCTCACACGTGCTTTAAGTACCTGCTTACTTATCTTCCACCTCACTGAAAAGAAAGCCGTCTTTGTCATGTCCTGGCCGCAGTATCCTTCAGTTTCCACTGTGGCGGGAACTGCGGCTCGTTCACTTCGCATGTGGCAACCTTGAGGCTCAGGGGGACGAAGAGATAGACGTGCATGAGATTCTACGGCCTGTGGAATGAGCCCACACAGAGCAGAACAAAGGGACATGATCTCTAAGCGTTGATTCCAGTGCTGTGCTCTTTCCTTCGTATATTGGCTGTGAGACCCCTGTGCTTCAGGAAGCGTGCGTGGGGCCCAGGTGGCACCTCCCCCTCGGTCACGGCGGCTTTCTTAGCAGGCCAGGCTATGTCGATGCTTTATTCTTCTGCGCTCACTCATGCAACAGCCTTCCTGGTGCACTAGCAGGCAAAGGCCGGTGAAGAGGGCTGGTGGGCAGCTTCCGAGAGGCCTGCCCGAGTGCAGGAGGTGTGGTCTCGCTTGCTGTTGCAGAGGGACGCCTTGCGGATAACCGCTCGCATGGATCTGATCCTGGTGTTCTCAGTCGCCTCCTTGCTTGCCTCTTTTAGAAAAAGGCCTCTCCCTGTTGGGCTACCGGCTGTGCAGCTACCGTGTGACCCACACTGTGCAGAAGGTGGAGGCTGTGCAGACGTCCTACACGACCTATGCGTCCTGCGGTGGCTGGATCCCCTGGAGGCGGTGCCCCAAGACTGTTTATCGGACCCAGTACCTGGTAGTGGAGGTTCCCGAGTCCAGGAATGTGACCGACTGCTGTGAGGGCTACGAGCAGCTCGGCCTCTACTGTGTCTTGCGTGAGTCCAGGGCTGCTGGGCTGGGGCGGGGCCACCCTTGCCGTCGAGACTCCTGATGGGACAGTCACCGCTGACACCCATTGGCCCGGAACTTGCTAGATCTTCCAGGAGCACGGTTCCCAGCCTTGACCAGGAAGCAGGGTCATCGGCAGGGCTTGTCCCTGGCCCCACTCTCAGGTTTCTGAGTCCGTGAGTGGGGGTGAAGTACAAGAATTTGCCCTCCTGACAAGTTCCTGGGTGACACTGATGCTGCTGGCCCAGGAACCCCACTTTGAGAACCTCTGTTGTTCTCAGAGGGCCCCAAGTCCTCCTGCTTCTCAGTGCAGTTTGAAAGCTGCTGTCCTGTAGGATGCTTGGGGTCAGTTACCAGGGTGACCAGTGCGGTTAGGCCAGGCCAGGGTCTGAGCCGTTGGGAGGGGGCGGGAACTCAGGGCTCAGCCTACTGACAAGCAGGTGATCTCTTTCAGGGGAGGGGGGTGTGTGTGTGTGTTTAGTGGTTGCTAATTTCGAGTCAATACCAGATCTGCAATGAGTTTCTGTGTAGTCAGAAGGTCCCGCCTCACAGCCGCACTGTGGAAGGACATGGGGGTGTGTGGCTCCAGCTTGGTGTTGGCCAGGGTCACTGAGACACAAGGGCTGTGGCCTCCAGAGTGCAGAAGCCACCAGCTCCTGGGTGCCCCAAGGGGGATCCTACAGGACCCATCCTTGTGGCCTGAGACCAGGACACCAGCAGAACGAAGCGCAGACTCCCCAAACCAGGGTGCCTGCCTCCTCCAGAAACCGAGGGCCCAGGTTGCAGAGTCTGGGGTCCACGTAGACCTGCATGCTGGGCCATCCTGAGTGGGCCCTCCCTCAGCCCCCAGTGCGATTTCACAGATGACAGGGAGAGTTGCCGCATTTCTGCTGCCCCGTTCAGAGGGCCAGGCACAGACAGGGCCCGATGGTTTCGGGTGTGCTGTTAACAGGCACGCTTCTCTTTCAGGAGTGTTAAAACAATACCACCATGACCAATACCTCCATCACCAATAGAAACCCGGCGGGGCCAGCTGACCCCAGAGCGATGGCCCTTCTGTACTCCCATTGCTTCCCTAGAGGGCCACCGGCAGGACAAGGCTATGCCTTGGCCATGCTGCTCAGGTGCTGGTCTAAGGAGACCCTTCCTGTCCTGTTGCCTGACCCCATTTCCACTTTCCCTTTCTCCGAGGGCCACACACACAGAGGGGCCTGCTGAGCCACAGTTGCTGCTGTCCTTGCCCTGCAAGCAGCCTCCACTCCTAGTGGATGGCAGGGGCCATTAGGACACAGGTGCTGATGCCACGGCACCTTGGTTTAGAGCATGTGGACTTTGCAGCCAGGACATGCCCTGTCCTGTCCTGTCTTACCTGTGGAGGCCACACCTCTTCCTACCTGTTGGCATTGTCAGGACTAGTGAGGGGAGGAGGCTCTGGGGGAGGCCGATCAGCAGCCCCTTCCTGCCCCCTGCTCTGCAGGGCCACACCAGCCCCACCCATGCCCACCATCACCTTCTGTAAGAGACCCTGGCCTGCTGCAACAAACAAGTTAATTCCCTCCCAGAAGACAGGGAGGCCTCTCCCCACTACCTGCCCTTCATCCTCCTCCACAGAACAGCCTCCAGGAGCTGCCTCTTGTGGAAATCAGCCGCACTGTTAGAGTGTTAGCACCTTTAATTAGGGGCTCGCCCGGGCGATGCTTTTGCAGTCAGGGAGTCCCATGGGTGAGAGTGGGCTGCCATGGGGAGCTGCAGGGAGTGGAGGGCGAGGCCACAGGGAGGGACGTGGGGCATGAGGGGAAGTGGACTCACTCTGCGGGCCCTGAGCCCTTCAGTACATGGCCCCTCAGGTTCTAGAAAGCTCACTCTGGCACAGCGAAGAGGGGGCAGACCTAGAAGGGGGAAGGAAGAGAAGACGGAGGGGAACAGGCATTGCCTGAGTGCATTCTTTCTAAGAGGCCAGGGCAGAAGACCCTCCGATCCCTCAGGTGCCAAAGGAATAGGCATCCCTGGCTCTGCAGGTGGAGATCCAGGCTAGGGGAAGCCTGCGCCTCCACTACCATGGCACAGCTCTGGGAAGCCTGGCTTGGGACATGGACCTGGGGCTCTCTGACCCGCAGGCAGATTTTTGGGGGTTTATCAAGCTGCACTTTAGTGTAGAGGAGTTTGCGGCATTTGAATGCTGTGGCTGTGGTGATTGTGGGAGAAGGAACGTTTCAGGGCCCTGAGGACACGGAGTTCTTTCTCAGAAAGGTCCCTGCCTGTGCCGGGGCCTGGTGAAGGGCACAGCCCACGAGGCTTCTGCAGCTCCTGCTGCTGGAGGGCCTATATCCCGTGGGCCTCCATCTCTTCCCAGCCCCAAGGTCAGAGACATCACGCTGGTAGTGTGAAGGTGCCTGTGGTGGGCAGATTTACACCCCGGATTTTGGCAGCACAATCTTCTCCCTGCTTGCACAGCTCTTTTGATCCAAGCCGCTTTTTCTGGGATGCCGCACGGCAGGTTGACCCCTTGGAGCTGGACGTGAGATGGTCTCAGTAAGTGACCTGTTGAGCACTGCAACTCTGATTTGTACAGAATGAGGCAGGCCTGAAGCTGGACCTGGCACATGTTGGAGGCACCTGGAAATACTGGGAGGTGTGAAGGGCAGGAGATGCTCCTTCCTCTGCAGCGGGGCCTCCAGGTCGCTTGAGTGTGGGTGACTCACACCTCAGCTGCCCGGGGGTCTGCGCCTCGGAGTCCTATCCCCCAGACAGTGGCAAAACGCCAGACATGGTTCCTCCTTTCTCCTCCCGCTCAATCATGACTTACGCAAAAAAGCGAAGGGAAGCATCAACACACACGTGATATGATTTTCAGTGACTTTTTCAACTTTTTCATTCCAGCATTTGGAACGCAATGACACCTGGTGCATTATTTTAAGTTTTTAAAAGCATAATTACAGAAATGAATACATGAGCCATGCAGAAAATTTGGAAACACAGAAAACAGGAGGAGGAAACGATCCCAAGCCTGCTGCTCACGAATAACCACCCTTCACATATTCTTCATCCAGGGCAGACATTTCACAAGGGGATGGCCACTGTGTCCAAGACGTTTGTAGCATGATTTTACCGCTCAGCAATGTATCCACAGCAGCTTTCATGTCCATACACATGGCTCCACTGCATGCTTTTACGACCACATGGCATTACCTCATACGCACATCAGCATTCACTGAGCAAGTTCTTGCCACTTAACATTCAGTTGTTTCTAATTACTCATTAGCATACGTAATGCTGTGATGAACAGTATACGGTACAAACGTGGCTGTGTACAAGTTGGATTATGTGCTCAGGATGAATTCTGAGAAGTGGAACCCAGCATCTTAGCCATGCTCCCTAACTCCAGTGACACCCCAATTCTGCACAGGATCAACCTCCTGGCAAACTCAACCTTTTTAGGCAAATCCAGGACCCCACGGGACCAGGAGACTCCCCAAAACTTCTTGTCCTCGCAGGCTGATGAGCAGGGGCCCTTTGGTGAGAACCTCCAGTCCTGACCAGGTGAAGAGGCGCTGAGGAAGGAGGAGGGAGACAGGAGCGACTCGTCCCCAGCTCATCCAGTCCTCAGCACTGGGAGCCTTGGGTTTTACTGCTCCAACAGAAAGCTCCCCTGTTGCTTCACTGGACCATGACTAACAGTGTTGCCAGGAGCTGAGCAGTTCTTTTATTGTTCGCATTGAGTTAGGGAAGAAGGAGATTTTTGACTTTCTACCAGGTTGGACTTGTTCAGCTTTCTCAGGGCACTCAGTCAGCTGGCCGGCTCCAAGGCATGGAGGGGCTTCCCGGCAGTGCCCAGTTAAGATGCAAACCTTTCACTCAAAAACACGCCTCTGGTGATTAGGCAACTATTTTTGGAAGCCAATTTTGGGGGGATTACTTCTATTTAAATAGCCTTTTAGTTTAGAATAGTTTTAGATTTGCAGGGAAGTCTTTATCTTTCTGCAAAGATAATGCAGAAAGGTCCTGTACCCCCCAACCCAGCTTTCCCTAACGTTAGCATCTTACAGCTTTCGGGACAACTTGTCCTAAGGAACCGGCACTGGGCATTGCCAAGAAACTCCATACTTTATTTGGATATCCCTGCTTTCCCCAGAATGTCTTTTTCTGTCCCAGGAGCCCGCCTTCCATTTAGTCCACACATCTGCTTAACCCTTAGGCCTTTGCTTTTTGCACTGGGAGACAAAGCAGAGACCATCAGATGCTCAGCAAGCCTCCACCAGGCTCCTGACATTGCCCTCCTCGAGCTGCACCCAACGTTCATTTTTCATGCACGGCCATTGGTAGAGCTGCCTGGATGATGAGGAGAAGAAGACTGAGTCAGGGACAACGCAAGAAAGAGAGTGTGGCTGAGAGGAATGCCCACAGCAAGGCCGGGCGCTGGCAGACAGGGCTGTGTGAGAAGAGCGGGGATGCAGTCTGTCCGCATATTCCACGACTCTGGCTCCCCCTACTCTGGCCAGCTGAGCAGTGTCCTTGGTGATGTGGTCCCAACAGAAACCAGGGCCACTACCTTCTTTCTTGGTTGCGGAGTGCTCTGCAGAGACCCTGGGGGATCCAAGAGGCCGGTCCCTGGGATTGCAGCCTGTTGAGGCTGCCCTTCCACTTGGCCAATCCCACAAGTTTTCCCCACCCTCGCGGAGGTGAGTCTCGGACCCAGTTACCAGCTGGCCTCCTCTAGTCTTCTGGGCTCTGAGAGGTCTCAGGCTGTGCTTCTAAACATCCCCGGGCCATAGACACACAAAGCTTGCCATGCATCTGGGCATGAACTGGACAGCTCTGAGTAAAACCCCAGGGGGAGCACGGCACCCACCATCAGGATGGCTGACTATGGAGGCCACAGAGCGGGGCAAGCCTTCTCTGGGGCCCTGAACTGGGTCCCTCCTCCCTGTGTGTCCTCCTCATGGCTGCCCTCTGCCTCGCGGAGCTCCCATCTTCTCAGCTTCCTTCCGTCCTGGGAGATGGGGTCGTCTCCTGCCCTGGGCCCACCTCTGCTGTCTTGGCAAAGGCACACTGCAGGCTCTGCAGCATCGGGCACAGGCCCCGCTGTCTCCTGTGCCCTGGGGTTCAGTTTCTTCTCCTTGCCCTCCTCTTGTGTTTCTCGGAGCCCTGAGTGTCAGCCCCGGGACTCCTGACAGCTTCCATTTGGGTGGATTCTCAGACTCCTGCAGTGCTTTCTGAGAGCTCTACAAGCCCCTTTTCTGGAAAGCCCACCGTGGCCTCCCTCTGCAGCCCTGACTGAGGTCTGGTCCCCAGGACTAGTGTACCTCCCATGGGGACCCCACCGGGCTGGCCTCTTGCCCCCCTCATCTTTGCCTCCTGCAGAGGCTTGCCGTGTTTCTGTGTCTGGAGCTGCATCTGAGCTGCACTCACACTGTGAGGGGCTGGGGAGCTGTGCAGCCAACAGCCGGCGGGCTGGCCTCAGTGGCCACCTCCAGTGCCACTCTGCCGTGCGTCTCCACATGGGCAAACAGTGAATGTGTCCAGCTTCACATTTGTGCTGCCACACCTGGTCTACCCCAGGCCGTTCTTCCCACAGCTTTCCCCAGCTCAGGAATGGAGCCCCAGGGATGCCAGCCCCAAAGCCTGGGAGCCTTCCTGAAGCTTATTCTTCTCTTACACTCCATCCCATCTGTCAGCACATCCTGTGGACACCCCCACCTGATCTCCCCAGGGTCCCATGCTGCAGTCGTCTGCACTGTCACCTGGGCCAGCCTCCACCACACCCCACACCAGGCCTGTATCTCACCTCGTGGGCGCCAGGGCTGATGTCTGCAGGGCTGCTCCGAGCTCCCCTCTGCCCAGCCCAGGCACGAGCCCCTCTCCAGAGCGGCCTTCCCAGACCTCCATCTCCCACACTGCTTCATCCCCCAAGGCTCTCACCCTGTCTGAATGTCTGTAGATCGCCTTGCACTGTTGTTCCCCCACTGGAATATAAGTTCCCTGAAGGCTGGGCCCTGGGCACCTGGGATTGTGCCTGGCACATAGTAGGTGCTCAACAAATATTGAATGAATGAATGAATGAATGAATGAGCTATCAGGACTGGAAACAGCAAGCAGCCCTCTAAGGGGTGGTGGAGCCTCTTGGACCTGGACTCCTGAGGCCTGGAGGAAACAGAGACACCTAGGACCTCAACTGAAGCTGCCCTGGCAGGACAGATGGGCAGAGGATATGAAAGCCAAAGCCAGCGGCCCTCCAATGGGGTGGGTGTCTGCCCAGGCATGGGGATGGGCCCTGAACAGGCCACAGACCCACAGGCAGACTTCAGCACCAGGAAGCACTGACATGAGACCCCTGTGAAGCAAATCAGGTTCGTCTTTTATCACCAGCATCATTAACTGTACCATTTTCTCCCAGCTCTGAATCAGTCCAGGGAGTTCACATCAAGACCCGGGGTCTGCCCCGCAGAGGGGCCTGAACCATCCACCTCCCCCTGCAGCTTGGACACCGACTGTCCTGGACTTGAGAAGTGCTGCCCCTGGTCAGGGGGGCGCTGCTGCATGGCCCCTGCACCCCAAGGTAGGCTGCTGCAGGCCGTGCTCACAGATAGGCAGCAAGGGAGGGTCTCGGTGAGGCTGATCTGTGTGAAGGTGCGGGGAGGAGTGTGTTTCTAGGAGCAGCGACCGATTTCACCAGGAGCCCCCACTGTGTGCACAGGCAGCGCCTGCTCTTAGATAATTTCTTAGTCAAAATCTGGCCCCTGAACTCTCGGGGGAGAAAAGCTCACGGCACTCTCAGGGGCCCTGAAATGGGAAGACACGTCTGGTGGGGCAGAGACCTGGATTTCCCAGTTTGCCTGGAGAGCCCAGGAGCTCCAGGCAGATTTGTCACAGGTGCGGAGCTGGCTGTGCCTGCAGTGCCACAGGGGCCTGAGGAGCGCCACAGCGCCATAGGCAGGTCCTGCCGCCTCATATGCGCGCCTGCGGGTCTGGAAAGTTCTGTTTTGATTGGGGTCTACATCCAGGAGAATGGGATGGCCTATATACATACATTATATATATACACACACACACACATAATTTAATATTTATACATATTATTTAATATGTATTTATACATATTATATATAATATAATTAATTAATTAATATTAAATATATTATATTATATATACGTATTATTTAATATTATTTAATATTTAAAATATTTAAATATATTTAAATATTTATATATTTAAAATATATTATAGCATTAGTATGGTATGCAGTAATAAAGCAATAGTATACATAATATCAAGTATTATGTGATAATACTATATCATTACATTACATGCTATTCTTTAGTACATATCATATTACATATTATTATACTATCCAATATTTGTAGTATCAATAAAATAATGACACAGTATAAAGTAATTTTCTATATCAACATACTATGACAGTATAATGAGGCTGATAGGCTCTATTTACCTCCTAAGCAGATCTCTTCAAGGCAAGGCCCGCTGCTGTGGGTCCCAGGCCCAGCTCACCTCTGAGCAGGGATCAGTGGTCTTCAGGGACATTAGGATGGAGAGGAGCGAGGGGCAAGCAGTGGGGACATCCCCCCGTCTCCTGTGGTAGATGTCTTTTTGCAGGGAGGTAAATGCAGAGCAGGGCCTCTCATGGCCTCTGGTTCCCTCTCCTGCCCCCTCTCCCACCCCAGCGGCTCTTGTGACTTCAACCTGTCCTGGGTCCATAATCATCAGTGTTTGCCCTCGTGCAGCTCCAGAGAGGGGCCCCGTGGGCTCCTGGTACAACGTCACCATACTGGTGAAAATGGACTTCAGGGAACTCCAGCAAGTGGACCCCAGGCTCCTGAACCACATGCGCCTTCTGCATTCCTTGGTAGGTGAGAAAGACAGGGGCTCCCTGCACGCTCCTTTCAGCAGCTGCTCAGGCAGACCCAGGTGTGGGGCCGTGGAAGGGACCTGGGGATGGGGAGGGTGATGTTCCACAAGTGGCCCCAAATGACTGACTGTGAACCAAATTCTAATTCTTAAACAAATCAGCTTCAAAGAGGTATGATTTACATGCAACAACATGCACACAACTGAAGCGTGTAGTTGGCTGAGTTGTGATGTGTGTACCCTCGTAGGCCCACCTGTTGTGATGGAGAACGCGGATCCCTAAGCTTGCAGGAGTCTGGAGTCCCAGCAAAGACAGCCTAAGCCCCAAGCTCTTCCCTCACCACCCTCACTCCCAAAGTTCTCAAGTTCTGGCTCCTGCTTCATGGAAGCCGGCACCATCCTGGGAGTGTGGAGATGGGAGCTGTAGCCTGGGGCTGGAGAGCACCCTGGGGTCCCATGGTTAGCAGCGCCCCGGCCTCTCCACACAAGTCAGAAGCACACCCCAGGGTGACATGCAAAACTGTCCCCAGATGTCACCCACTGTCCCCTGGGGATAAAAACAAACACCCTTGCTGACCCCTGCCGATGACACAGCTCACACTTTCTGGCCCATCAGCAGTGATTGCCAACCAGGTTGGCAGCTCAGGCCACCATCAGTCTTGGGAATCCCAGCGTGGACAGGGCACTGCGTGCCCCCAAGGCGGCCCTCCCTGGGGGATGGTCTGACTCTAGGGCCGGCTGCTGACAGGGGCCTGTGCTCAGAGGGGCTCAGCTTGGTCTGAAGTGCTGCCGTTGCCTCTGGAAATGCCAAACACTTTTCAGACAAAGGGCCCTGCATTTTCCTTCGGCATCTGTGTAGCTCTTCTGTGCTTCAGATCTTTTGTGTGTCCCACATGTGTCTGGGTGTCTTGGTGTTAGACCCAGGGTTGGGGCACTCCTTGGCCTTTAGCCTAAGCTGGCTGGAAGCCCAGATCAGATGGTGCACACCTCCCGTTGTTCTGGGCTGCTGGCCAGTGAGCTGCTAGACAGGTAGTCTGCAGCCTCGGTCTTAACAGCCCGGGCTAGGAGTGATTCCTGTCTCCTCTTAGCTTGTTGAGGGGCTGTCCAACAGGCCAGTAAGAAGCTAGCTCTGAAGCCGTACTGCCTGGCCCAAGTGTTGCCACTCATCAGCTGTGTGACCTTGGGCAAGTCACTTAACCTCTCTGTGCCTGAGATACCTCCTCCATTAAATATAAACAATCGGCCAGGAGTGGTGGCTCATGCCTGTAATCCCAGCACTTTGGGAGCCGAGGCGGGCGGATCACTTGAGGTCAGGAGTTCAAGACCAGCCTGGCCAACATGGCAAAACCCCATCTCTACTAGAAATCCAATAATTAGCCAGGTGTGGTGGCACGTGCCTGTAATCCCAGCTACTGGGGAGGCTGAGGCAGGAGAATTGCTTGAACCCGGGAGGTGGAGGTTGCACTGAGCCAAGATCATGCCAGTGCACTCCAATCTGGGCTACAAGTGAGACTCTGTCTCTAAGTAAGTAAGTAAGTAAGTAAATAAATAAATAAATAAGTATATAGAAATAATTGTAACCCTGCCTGAGACAGGGCCCATGAGTTTAAATCATACATGTAAAGAGCTCAGGATGGTTCCTGAGCTTCCTGATGTGTGTGGGGCCAGAGATGTTGTGGTTGTTGTGTTTTCACTATTGCTGTGTGCCACCTGCTGTCTCCTCGTGTATGCAGGTTTCGTGTCTCCAACCAGCCCATTACCCCCTGCAGAAGCACCTGCCTTGCCCAGGGGTCAGGCAGCAGCAGGGGCTGGGCTCCGAGGCCTGTTTCTGCTGCTGAATAAGGGGTTCCAATGAGGTCGGGGCTGGTTCCCATTTCTGTATTTTAAATTACGAGTTGCATCTCCTCCCAGGAAGAGGCTTCAGGTGTGTATCAGAGGACCCCAGCTCTCCCCAAACCTCCTTCGGTGTTCCCAGTGGAGACTCGGGGATTTGCTGACAAAGTTTGTTTTGGTGACTGCTGGTCTGGCTGTGCAGCTGCCGGTTCGCCTGGCTTCCCAAGGGTTGAGATTCAAGATATTAAACTGAAATAAAAATAATGCATTGAAATGAGGAAAGTGATCATTAAACCTCAAAAAAGTAATTGGATATTTGGATGTACACAACAGGAGACCGTGGCTTGTGATCTCAAATTGTCTAATTCTGGTTCTAATTCTCTGTCGTCAGCTGCAAGAGACCTGCAGTCTTGGCAAGGGTGGGAGACCGGGGGTCCTGGGGCTGGCTGCTGTATTAGTGTCCTGGGGCCACCGTTACCGAGGACCACAGACTGGGGGCTTCAAACAACAGAAACTTCCTCTCTCACAGTTCTGGGGACTGGAGAGTCCGAAATCAAGGTGTCGGCAGGGCTGGTTCCTCCTGAGGCCCCCGGGCCTGTCTCCCTGGCCTGCAGGCAGCTGTCTTCTCCGTCTCTTCACACTGTCTTCCCCCCATTCATATCTGTTTCTGTGTCCACATTTCCCCTTTTTATGAGGGCACCAGCCATATTGGGTTAGAACCCACCTTAACTAATTAGATCTGCAGTGACCCTATTTCCAAATAAGGTCACATTCGGAGGTGCTGGAGCTTAGGACTTCAACATATGGATTTTAGGGGACAGAATTCAGCTCATCACAACTGGTGCTGAAAGGTATTGATAGTTCTGGTTTGTAGGACTTTTATTAGGCTGGTGACGGATGCATAAGTACTGTAGAGGTTCTTTGCTGAGGAGCAGAATGGTGTGTGTGTGTGGACAGTTCATTTCAACTCTGTGGGCGTCAATCTCCTTGTCTGTCTGACAGGGTGTCCTTCCGCCGTGTGATGCTCTGATTCTGGCTTCACAGGTCACCAGTGCCCTGCAACCAATGGTCTCCACCATCCACCACCTGCACTCGGCCCCTGGGGACGCCTCCACCACGGTGTCATGGCTGCTGCTGGGCCTGCTGCAGCCACTGCCTGTGGCCGACGTCTCTGCCCTGCTGGGTGACATTGCGAAGCGTGTCTATGAAGTGATCAGCGTCCAGGTGCAAGGTTGGGCTTCCCTCGATCCTCCCTCTGGGGAGGCTGCAGGGTGGGGCCTGAACAGCCAAAATGCAAGGTGGACGCTAAAGCCAGACCAGTCCTTTGTCTTTTAAAGGAGGTTTAAGTTCAGGAGTGAAAGAATAACTGGTTCAAGTGTGTTCATCCCACAGGTGTGGGATCTGCCTTCAGCTCACCCTGTAAACTCCAAGTCTCTAAGTACAGACCTCGAGAACCTATTCTGCCCCCCATTTCTGGCCCCTCTCCCCTTCCCTCCATTTCTCCTCAGATCCCTCTGGACTCCTTCCCCCTCGACAGGCTTCTCCTTCCATCCTAGTGGACACTGGAGGGCAAATCCCAGAGCCACACACAAAGAACTTGTTTCTTCAGTTCTTTGGTTTCCTGAATTTCCCTCTCGCCTCTTTCCCACCCTTGCCAAGGACATCCTTGTACTCCAAAGGCTCCTTCAGCAGAATTTGTCTAAAGTTGAGTTTGTATCTGGCAAAGCACATAGGCGAGGCCTTGTTTCTGGAAGAAATTACCTATTCTTTGTCGTTGTCCTATGTCAGGAATTGGCAAACCTCATCTAAAAGGGACCAGATAGTAAATATTTTTGGCTTTGTGGGCCCACGTGGCCTCTGTCTCAACGACTCAGCCCTGCTGCGGTAGCAGCCACAGACAGTCCGCAAGCAAACCGCTGGGCTCCTGTACAGCTTCCTGTACCTAAGCAGGAGGCAGCCAGGCTAGTCTGCTGCTCCCACGGCTTTGCGGGAGGGTAGCTGCCTTGGTGAAGCCTCTTGTATGACACTGAGGAGGCACGTGACAATGCCAGGGCTCAAAGCCTTGTGAAAGCTCTAGCGATTGCAGTGATCTCCCTTCAGATCCACACACGTTCTTCAAAACCAAACTGCATTGCTCTAGTGCCATTAAGCAAAGTGTTCGTTCTATCATCCGCTCTGTCAATGACATTCGGCCAGAGGTTGCAGGAGCACACCTGTGGGTGGACCAGTTGAGTTTATTATTTGAGGCAGCAAGGGAGAACCCATACCATGGAAAACCATGAGGTCTCTCAGTAAGAGATTGTTAGAAAGAAACTGTTACAGGATGTGGGTTGTGATCGGGTAGTTTGGGGAGGGTCTAGGGAAGTGTGATTTTGTTCTGAATTGAATGCTGTCAGGAAATGAAGGCAACTCCATGATTGGGAATCTCAGTACATCTAAGCAAACGAGACGGGCACAATTGCATAAACATAAGCTATAATTTGTGAAGAACTAATAATCACTCATTTGGGCCAAGAGAGGGGCGTTAGTATTTTGTGGATGACACATGAGCTTATCACTGTCTGTGCTTCGACAGCATTATGAAGAGGCTGGTCACTGTGAGATGGTTCTGTCTGGGAGGCCTGGGCCAGCCTCAGAATGTCAGGGGTGGCTCTGGGTTTCCTTGTTGGCACAGAAAATACCCATCAATTTGCTTTACCCTTGGGATGGGATGTTTTGGCCCCGTCTTTTCATGACCACCCAGTCTCAGTCCAGCCCAGAGCCATTTGCTCATGTGAGGCTGCCCGGTGAGCTAGCCGCGAGCCCTGACTGAATGTGGGCCACTGCTTAGATGAAGATGGCCAGCAGCCGCTCGGGGCCCTCTAAGATGAGGCTTCCATAGTCCCTCTTGGGCCCACTGCCCAAGGCACCCCTCAACCGACGTGGCACAAATCCATGGCAGGAGTCCACAAAGGCCATGTGTGCAGGTAGATGAGGACGGCGAGGTGGCAGCAACTGCTGAGTGTGGGTCCTGCTGTCCGTCCCTGTAGATGTCAATGAGTGTTTCTACGAGGAGCTCAACGCCTGTTCTGGAAGGGAACTGTGCGCAAACCTGGAGGGCTCGTACCAGTGCGTCTGTCACCAGGAAGCTCCAGCCACGTCTCCGCGGAAGCTCAACCTGGAGTGGGAAGGTAACGGCTAGGCTCTCTCAGATGGTGTGGGAATGGCTTAATTCCCATTTGCCCCTGGAATACTCGCCAGCAGTGCTTGCAGCTGCAGCATTTGCCCCGAGATAACTTTGCCATGAAATGTCTTGCTTTTATTATTATTTTCACATCACTCTGGTATGTCGACTTTGGAAACAAAAGACACAATTCTCCTTATAGCATTCTGTTTTTAGTAGTGGTGTTTCCATTTACAAAATATAGTGACTCTTGATTGCTGGAAATGTCAAATCCTAGAAAACAGCATTCCTACGTGTGTTGTTAACATTGTTCTCAGACAAGTTGTTGGCCGACGATTCATTTGCTGAACCTGTTTTTCTGACGATTCTGATGATTCAGACGATTCTGAGGTTAGTTCTGTTTAGAAATAACTCCAAGAACAGTTTTTATATTTTATTTTCATATTGAAAATCAGTTAGATTTGCTTTAGCCCCAAAGAGTGTGTTGATGTAAAATTAAATGAGTGTTGGCGGTGAGCTGCCCTTTTTGTCTTCGAAACGGGAAAAGGGTGAAGGCATTTTTCAAAGGCTAGATGGTCTTTAGACCACAGAGACTCTTCTTGCTGAGAGGGAACGGCTGGCTCACAGGCACAGGATACACTTAGTTCTCTCAACCATCATTGGTCTCCCAGTGGGCCACTCTTGCCTCCGTTCTTTGGCTTAGGAAATGTTGATGTAGGTGCTATTCACTGTGCTCGGTGCTGGTAATGGAAACATGCAGAAGCAGGTCCTAATCTCTGTCCGTCTAGTGGATTGTGGAAATGGAGACATTTTAGCGCATGAAAGGGCATGACTGATGTCTGCATTGGAACCACGGGGATAAGCTGGGACCGTCCCTAGCATCGCGGGGTCAGCCTGGGGAGCAGAAGAGCGGGCTGGGCGTGGGGGGAAGCACGTAGAAAAACGTGCCCAGGTCTGTCCCTGTTGGGAGTGGGGAGGGATGTACCAACCAGGACTGGCACACGGGATTGGCTCTGCCATCAAGCAGCTTGGAATAAGAAGTCACTGTGTAATCTGAAATGTAGGAAGGCGCTATAAAGATGATACACTGCGTGCAGGAGTCTAGGGTGTAGAAGGTGGTGGAGAAAGGGATTCAGGCAACATTTTAGAGGTAGAACCTCTGGAACTTCCTGATTAATCCAGTGAAGAAGAGGACAAAGGAAAGAAGACGGAATCCAGATGTCTTGACTGAACAATGGAGTAGAGGGTGTTTCCACTGGAGTGGATGGGGAAGATGCGAGCTGTTGTTATTATTGTCAGTAGTAGTTACCGCTGAGATGGAGTGAGTGGAGGTGCCAGGATGCTGACTGAGTTGGACACGTGGTGCTGGAGCGCAGAGGTGGGGCTGGGCTGCATATGTGAGTCCAGGGTCACTCGCCTCCAGGTGATACTTAAACCATGGCATGACTGAGAGAAGGGAAGAGGCCTGGGGCCTGCGGCCAGAGAACCCCAACAGTGCCAGGTCAGTGCAGGAGGAGAGGCTGCAGAGGACAGGGGTAAGGCAGGAAAACAGCTGGATGGGCGTGTGCAGCCAGGTCAGCAGGGAAGGCTCAGTAAGCCCCAGGCAAGCAAGCAGTAAGCTGGATGGCAAGCAGGGAGGGCACACGCGTGGGTAACAGCGGGGCAGGAAAGCGCCCGTGGGAACTGCGGGGATCTGGTGCCGGCTTCAGGAGAGCAGAAGGGAAGCAGCCAGCAGCCCAGGTTAGGAAGACAGCTGGAGGAGAGAAAGAAGAGAGAACAACTGAGAATCTTGCAGGGAAGCTTGACTATGAAGAGGCTAAGGGAAGGAAAGCCTGGTGTGGAGGAGGCTGTGGACTCCCAGGGGGTCTCTCAGGCAACGCTGATCCCAGCTCTTTCTATTCCCTGTTTCTTTCCAGGTTTTGACCTTATTGAATACAAGTTTGTTTGTTTGTTTTTAACCTTATTTAAATCCTGCTGCATGTGTAATTTTATAAGCTGCTTTCTTCAGTTCCTATAGTGTGTACAAAGTTTCCAAGAAGAATCCTGGTTTTCACCATGACAATTATTGGTAGTTGAAAACTAACAGCTTTCTAAAGCAATCATATAATATTCTTTCCCCTCACGGGAGCACTTCTGTTGCTTCCAGGAGTCTGGAACTCTAACATTGTGACAAGGGTTACAGAGAATCTCTTTATACCCAATTTGAATTCGTTAATCATTTAATTTGCATGTTCTTTTTCCTTAAAAGGACTCAACAGTGAGGACCATCCCTTTGTTCACAATAACAGCACGGCTGGCAGTTGCCGGCACTTCACATACACTGGGCTCTGCTCTCAGCACTCTGTGGGTATTGCTTCGTTTAGATTCTGAGAATAACCTCAAGAGGCAACTACTCTTAATACGCTCATTTTTTCAGAAGAGGAAATTGAGGGAGACGAAGGTGATTTTCTTGCATAAGATCCCAAGGCTGGTTCTCTGCAGACGCACATGAACCAGCTGTTCATGACTCCCTGCCACCCTCGTCATCCCAACGTCATCTCCCCTAGCAGCCCTCTGGAGGGGACCTGCCTGAGAGTGTGATGGCCTCTCCCCCGTCCTCGGGGACTGTCCTTTGTCCTGGTGCACTCAGGGAAACCGCCATGCCCTTCCCACCTTCATGAGTGTTTAGGACCAACAGTCGGTAGAGCTCCAGAAGACTCGAATTATTTTCTTTGGTGTTCCAGAGCCCAACTAGGAAAAGGAGTCTAAGGTTGTGGTTTATTTATTTAATTAATTTTATTTTTTGTAGAGACAGGGTCTTACTCTGTCGCCCAGGCTGGAGTGCAGTGGCATGATCACCGGCCACTGCAGCCTCCAGCTCCCAGGCTCCAACCTCAGCCTCTGGAGTAGCTGGGACCACAGACGTGCACCACCACAGCTGGCTCATTTTTAAATTTTTTGTAGAGACGAAGTCTCACTGAGTAGCCCAGGCTGGTCTTAAGCTCCCAGCCTCAAGAGATCCTCCCTCCTTGGCCTCATAAAGCGCTGGAATTGCAGGCAGGAGCCCCCCGTGCTCAGCCTAAGGTTCTGATTGGCTCTTCTCGTTGTCCTGTGGGCGAGGGGTGGAGGGAGTGGACCAGTCCCCAGAGCCAGCTGTGGATGTGGTGGGCTCCAGGGTCAGACGTTCCCCCTACCACCAGGAATGTTCTCCTCCTATCAGAATGAGGCTGTGTGGAGAGAGTGGCCTTGCCTTCTGCCCTCTGGCAGATGAATCCCTGGTGCCCCGCAAAGAGCAGGCACTCCACAAACATTTCCTGGATCAATCACGGAAAGAGAGGTTTTCACAGTGGTCATCCCAAGGATCTCCAGGTGTTAAAAATTTCCAGCCCAGCTCTGGCAGCAAAACACTGAGAACACTCCTGTACCCCGCAGCACGTGGCCTTGAGATCCACTTAGAACTTCGTACCCCATGCACACCCCACGGCACCCCACTAAGTTCTGCAGAGAACCGTCTATAGATTCCTGCTCTGTGGCTTCCAGGGTGAGACTCCTGTCCCTTTCGTGAGCGCAGAAGGTTAGAAAACAGGTATTTTCTGAATAGTTATTTTTACCCTCGTCAGTCATCTGGAAAAATATTAGATTCTATTTACGGTTAGGTCTGTTGGCAGTCACACTCTGCCGTGTTGCTTGGCGCAGTGAGCTGCCAGATTACGTCAGGATACACGGCCACTCGAGCGACCGCCAAACACAAACAGGGGAGGCTGCGCGGTCCTGGCTTCACTTCTAATAGGGCAGGACACACTAATCCAGTGTTTCCAGTTCAGCAGTTTAGAGTGAATTCCAATTGCACATTGCTAAGGAAACAGCATCCCTGGCACCTTCCCTGCTGAACCAGAGATGAGTCATGGCTGCCCAGAAGAAACAAGGGCCAGACTGTCAGACGTGGAGAACCCAGGGTGCTTTACCCAGATAGCAGCAAAGTTCTGAACTTGTGTTTCTAGCTGTGGATGGGGAGGGCTGTGGAGCAGGGGCTCTGGGGCCTGGAGTTTAGATTAACCACATTACTGTGGCCTTGGGTCATACAAACACAGAGTCAAGAGCATCATTTTCTAGGCTACATTTAAGGGGGACACTGAAAAGGGTCCCGATTTAAGGGTGACCAAAGGAGGGTGTTCTAGCTAATGAAAACCAAAAACCAAGTGATAGGGGCCTACCCTGGAAGAGAGAAGTCAGGGGTAGAAGGAAGATTTCTAGTTTTAAAATACCACAAGGTCTGTCCAACAAAAGAGAGATTGGCCTTAGCATGTTAGAAGTTGGTTGGTTGCTTTTACAACACAAAGAAAACTCTCCAAGCTGTGCTGTCCAGCCACGGGAACAGCTGCAGTGAAATTTCGCTAAAGAAGGATTGGGAGATATGTAAGTTTCCTGGGTTTCCTTAACAAAGACCCATGAACTGGGTGGCTTCAAACAAGAGAAATGTATCCTCTCACAGTTCTGAAGACCAGAAATTTGAAATAGTTAGCACTGGGCCCAAATCAGGATGCCAGGAGGGCTGTGCTCCCCAGAGGCTCTGGGAGAATCCATTCCTTGCCTCTCTGCCCTCTGGTGGCTACCGGCATTTCTTGGCTTGTGGCTGCATCCCTCCTACTTCTGTTTTTGTTTTGTTTTGTTTTGTTTTGTTTTTTGACAGGGTCTTGCTCTGTCACTCAGGCTGAAGTGCAATGGCACAATCTCGGCTCACTGCAGCCTCCACCTCCAGGGTTCAATTGATCCTCCTAGCTCAGCCCCCCAAGTAGCTGGGACTATAGGCACACATCACCACGTATGGCTAATGTTTGTGTTTTTTTGTAAAGATGGGGGTCTTGCTATATTGCCCAAGCTGGTTTCAAACTCCTGGGCTCAAGCCGTATGCCCACTTTGGTCTCCCAAAGTTCTGGGATTACAGATGTGAGCCACCACGCCTAGCCCTACTCCATCTTCAAGGTGAACATCTTTGTTCTTTCTCTATTCCAGCTTCATACTGCCTTCTCCTTTGTGTGTGTGCATGTGTGTGTGTCTGTGTCTGTGTGTAAATCTCCCTGGATTCTCTCTTATAAGGACACTTGTGATTGCATTTAGGGTGGACCTGGGAAATCCAGGATTATCTTTCCATCTGAAGATACTTCACTGAATCACATCTGCAAAGATTCCTTTTCCAAATAAGGTCACAGTCATAGGTTGCAGGGATTAGGACTTGATATCTTTGAAGGTTGTTATTCAGCCTACTACTGGTGATAGGAAAGCTTAGTAGTAAGGCAAATGAACTTTGCTATTTCTTATTGTTCAGCTTTGCCATATACTACCTACTTGACCTTTCTAGGCCTCAGTTTTGTCCTCTGTAAAATGGGGATCCTAGAAGAACCTATTACTTGGGATTGCTGTAAGGACTAAATAGGATAACATGCCTGGTGCACACAGCACCCAGGAAACATTTCCTGTAACTGTATCACTGATAGCATGGCTGGTTTGTGACATGGACGTCGTGGGAGGGAGTACTGTAGGGGGCTCACACCAGGGAGTTAATTTATAGCTCCCTGCAAGTTCCTACTGCTGCTATGATGCATACTGCGCAGCTTGGACACTGTAGACATTAACTCATCCTTGTTCCCTCAGTGTTTATGGTGATGCTGGGTGCATAGTAGATGCTCAATAAAAAAAATTGAGCCATAAGAAATTGGTGCCCTTGTTGGACAAACATGGTCCAATATGGACAATTCCAAATGCTTCAAGGTAACAGACTGGAAAAGGGCCACACAGATATTGGATGGGAGCGTTGTCCTTAGGGATAATGCATTTCTTTGGATTAGATGAGATTCTCTTTCCCCAAATGCTCACGATCTCTCCTAGCTGCAGAAATCACTGATGGCAGCTTCTGCAGATGCCTCCGAGGGCTTTCACAGCATTTGAAATGCAGATTTGCAGGTCCCCATCCAGTGATCCAAAAACCCACTGGTATCTTAATTTAAAGAGTAAACATATTTATTAAAAGAGATAAAGCATGCATTGCCAGCCCCGTACCCTCTGAGACTTCTTTCCAAACACCATTCCTCTGCATTCTTTTCAAATAAGTACGGGTGCCCTTTTAATTTTAACTCCGCTCTGCTGAGAAGCACCCCCCTTATAGAATGCGCTTTTAAATGGCCCGTAATCTGGGTGGGCCATCTGTTGTCCCACCCATGTGCTCTCTCACTCTGTGTCAAGTTTGATATCTGAATGGCAACAAGGAGGCAAGGTTGGAGCCCTGGGTGTGGACTGGGGGCTGTTGTTCAAGCCGCTGGGCTTGCTCGTGGCCGCCCCACTTTCCTGTTTGCAGGGCGTTTTGCTGTCACACCATCCTCCACTGACATGGATAAAAAAATGCTTGGGGCTGTGTCCTGACTGTACAAAAATAGAACAGTCAGTGCTTTTAGCAGACTTTTTGGAAAAGAAATTGTAGCCCTTCCTTCCTTTTTCAGTGAGACATACGTTCCCAAGGAACAGACTTTAAAAAGCTGGGTGGTTGTTAGAAGGCCAGGCAGTGGGGGGTCTTTTTGATTCCCAGGTTCTGGTGACCCTGGAGATGGGAGGTGCCACCCACAATCTCAGGTCCCAAGCTTTGGGCGACCCTCAGTTGAAGCATTTCTGCTTTTCTTGCCACTGAAGAAAATATCATAAAGAATGAATCCATGTCTGTGTCTCTGATCAATATGCCAAAGATCACTGGATAATCCTGTAAAAAGTATAGATGTGTCTTTTAAAAAATACATTCTACCCCACATCCTAGAAGTGTTATTAGGACACATCAGAATTTGGATGGATGTCACTGATCCCATCCGAGTGAAGCCTGTGCAGATTCCCCTAACAGATGCTCATCTACTGGGAGGTGGAGCGGCAGGGTTTTCAGTGGGGGAGCTCACCTACACAGGGCCCAAGATTCAAAAGAGGCAGCTCAGTCTCGGATTGGAAGGAAGAGACAGCAGGGCTATGTCGCGTGGTGGTGACTGGGCACTAAATTGGATTCTGAGCCTCTTGGCAGCCAAGGCGAAAAGGGAAATGAGCTGGATAGTATTGTTTTTTTTTTCAATTTGTTATTGAGAGAAAGCAGGCACATGTGTCTAGAAACAGAATTTTTTTCATGATACTAGAAAGTGTATATCCTACCAATCCTTACGTAAAAGGCTTTGGGAAGCCACACATTATAAAACTATTATTTTCTTTACCATGGTTTTGCAAAATATATTTTTTAAAATTCTTCATTGCTTGTTTTTATAGAATTTAAACTCTCATGTGAAAATTTTGGTGACTAGACTGGGGGCCATCTACTTTTTATATAATTCTTGCTGCCCAGATACTTGCTGTACAGCCAGAATTTTTTTTAACCAAAAAAGAGCTTCAATGCTATTTGAGCACTGGCATATATATAGGTTGGTACATCAGAGCTTTGCTCCCTGAGGCATGGATTTCAATAGGAAAGCATAAAAAAGGCAATAAAGGAAGCTCAGCCTGGTTTCTGAGTCCTGCTTCCTGACGATGGAGGCCATCGTTTACGGCGTGATGAGTCAGCCCAGTGCAGACGTTCTCGTGCAAATGACCAAGTGCTTGTCATGAATCAGAGCAGCCCAGAGCCCTGGGAGAAGCTGGCAAGGCAGCGTTTGTAGACGTGGCACAGAAACCTTACACTGTCGTGGCCATTGCTACAAATGTTTTCTGTACAATGACTGCCAACGGGTCCCCAGAGAGAGTGTCCTGACTTTCTAGTAACCACCGATTCTGGATCCCAAGGAGCCCCACGACTCAATGCTATTCATTGTGTAGACAGAGGCACACTTGAATGACTCCTACCCACTAACTTGGCTCAGTGATAGAGGGGCTGAGATTTCAACTTCAGACCTCTTGCTTCTCCATTTCATCTCAACTATCCCCATCACTGAATGCAATCCTGAGCTACCTTCCAAAATTATTCAGAAGCCTGGAGAGAGAGAAGATTGATATTCTGTTTTGAATGAATGGGTTTCATTTATAATTGAAAAAAAAAAAATAAAAACAAACAAAAAAACAGCAAGTGGGCCAGGCGTGGTGGCTCACACCTGTAATCTCAGCACGTTGGGAGGCTGAGGCAGATGGATCACGAGGTCAGGAGATCAGGATCATCCTGGCTAACATGGTGAAACCCCATCTCTACTAAAAATACAAAAAAATTAGTAGGGCATGGGGGTGAGCACCTGTAATCTCAGCTACTCGGGAGGCTGAGGCAGAGAATTGTTTGAACCAGGGAGGTGGAGGTTGCAGTGAGCCGAGATCGCACCACTGCACTCCAGCCTGGGCGGCAGAGTAAGACTCTGCCTCAAAACAAAAAACAGAAAACAGCGAGTGCTGTCCTGCATGGGTCAACTTGATCAATAAATCAGTGAAAACCAAGTTGAGACAAGGCTGTGTTACCTGCTTCAGAAGATAAAGCCGCCCTCGCTGACCCTTTGCTCGTCTTCTCTTCCTGTGCTTTCATAGATTGTCCTCCACTCAGTGACTACGTGGTCCTCAACGTCACCAGTAGCAGTTTTCAAGTATCCTGGCGTTTAAATTCTACGCAGAACCACACTTTCCATGTCTGGGTTTACCGGGGTACGGAGTTGCTCAGGAGCGTCAGGACACAGGGCCAGGCACTGGCGGTGGCTGGGCTGGAGGCTGGAGTGCTGTACAGGGTGAAGACCAGCTACCAGGGGTGTGGGGCCGACGTCTCCACCACGCTGACGGTCAAAACTGGTAAGGCCCCCAGTCAGAGACCCACGTTAGCTTGTGCACTTGTCTTTCTATACCAGTTCCATGGCCTTAGCACGTTGCATTGTTCTTCCTATAACCAGGGCACCAGAAGTCACTGACCGTCCCGCACTTCCTCCCTCCCCTCCCAGTTACCCCACTGCCTGCCCAGCATTGCACCGGCCCGCTGGCGCCTTCACGGGCTCCCTCGCTTCCCCACATCTCACCCTGTTCGGGGTTCACTCTGCTGTGTGAGGGGACAACATGTGGAATCAGAAGCACCAATAAGGCATCAGCTAGAGCGAAGCAAAGGAATAAAATAATAATAAAGCAGAAGGCGGCAGCTCCTGGCAAGCAGATCAGGACCCTGCCTGCTTACCCCACAGCACTGAGGCGGTCTAAGTTCCCTCCCTGACAGGGGAGAATCGCTGACGTTTTCATGCCTCGCTTCCCTCGTGATGCATGTAAAGTGAATGCCGTGCCCACCACATTTGTGCTGGGACGAAATGTTTTTGCTTTTCGAGACAGGGACTCGCTCTGTCACCCAGGCTGGAGTGCAGTGGTGCAATCACAGCTCACTGCAGTCTTGACTCCCTGGACTCAAGTGATCCTGCCACCTCAGCCTCCCTAGTAGCTGGGACCACGGGCACATAGCACCACACCCGGCTAAATTTTTTTATTTTTCGTAAGGATAGAATCTTGCCATGTTGCTCAGGCTGGTGTCAAATTCCTGGGCTCGAGTGATCCCAAGAGGAAACTTTTGTCCCCAAAACACATGATGCACACATGAACTCGGCACTTTGTCGGGAAGGAGCCGGTGTGGCCCGTCTGGGTCTGTCCCATGTGGCCCACTTGGCTCTGCCCGTGACTTGCTCCCCACTTGCCTGGTGCCCAGTGGTGCCTAGACTTGGTCAGGTGAGGCCTGGCTGGTGGAAGTTCTCCCCAAGGCTGGCCTCCGTGGCTGTGGGATGTGAATGTGGGGTTGCTGGGGCTCCATTCTGGTCCTGGGTTCTCGACGTGTGTGTCCCTGATGTAGAGCCGGTGGGAGCCCTGGGCTGTGGGCTTTGGGCTTCACGTCTCAGCAGAGAGTGCAGAGCACAGAAATTGCTGCATAAACACCATACTGGGGCCTTTCTCACTCACAGAGGTTAATGCTAGTGACAGTGACTGGTGGCGGAGAATGAATGGCGGAATGTGGCTCAGCCCTACATCCTTTCCAAACTGATTTGGGGTGAACCTCAAGCTAAGTCCTCATAGCAGCCAGCATGGGCATCCAGAGAGCCCCGAAGCACCCCGGCCACGCTCGACACAAGCCCTCCACTGTGCACGCAGCTTCCCATTCCAAGCTGACTCCACCTCATCTTCTCATTTCATTTCCAAAGTACGCCGGGACTAAGGGGAGGAGGAACTCTTTTCCCTCTTTGGAAACTGAGGCCTGAGAGGCAGTTCCATTATAGAGCCATCCTCCAGGTGCAAAATTGATCTCTATGGGAAATGCAATAGGAACTTGCAGCTCCCTGCCCACCCCACCAACCCCGTGCCCTCACCCTCCCCACCCCACCAACCCCGTGCCCTCACCCTCCCCACCC